TGCCGACTAATCAGGCTTCCTACGAGATTACATAACTTCTTTACAAGATTTTGCCTTTACTTATTGTTTTATTACTTTGAGTTGTTTTGAAATATGATATTTTGGAAGTGAGATAATTAAGTAAACCTGACTTGCAGTACTAACATTAAATTAAAAGTTGGAAAGATTAGCAAAGATTATTAATTCTGAATGAGATACTACATCGTACATATGTCTAAAATTATTTAAAATAATGAATTTTATTCATAACGTTTGTGAGACATTCTTAATTAATTACTGCGTTATTGGCTTACTCACGTAAAAATTTGACGAGATACTCGAATAGTTTCAAGCCATGTTAGAGGCCCATATTCATATGCAGCATTCGGCTACTCGAGTCTGCGGGCCCAACGCGCCCTCTGCCGCAATTCACGCGCACTTTTAGACTTTTTACTTCTTTCTTCTTCTTCTCGTCAAATTATTACGTGATTAATGAAAATAATGACGTTAATTTACGTGAGTTAATCGAGAAAAGCTCTACTAGTTTCAAGTCATAACGGGACTCTTATGTCTTATTTGCGTGACGGCGACGTAGCACAGCCGGCTTTGCGTCGACGTAGAGCGTTCTCTAAGTTAATTCACACTTTAAGCCTGATGGATGGTCAAAGGCGTATATATATACGTTATAAAAAATGAATATGAAAAATTCCTGTCTTTTAAATTGAATGCTTAACACTAAACCTCTAAAATGTCGTGGTGGCCCGGAGGTTAAGGCGCCCCCTTCTCATGCATGAGGGTGTGGGTCCGAAACCTGGCAAGTACCAATGTGACTTTTCCGAATTATATGTACTTTCTATGATTATTTAGACACCACTGACATACGGTGAAGGTAAACATCGTAAGGAAACCTGGACTTATAATTTCTAATTATAAGTTTGAAATCGCCAACCCGCATTGAGCAAGCGTGGTGATTAATGCTCTAACTTTCTCCGTATGAGAAGGGGCCTTTGCTCAGCAGTGGGCATTTATAGGCTGATGATGATGAACACTAAACCTCAATTTTAAAAAGTACCCTTGAGTTACAGTTCTCCTTATAACCGAAATACATTTTAGTTCGAAATATTTTACAAACTTTGAATAATTCTCAGCTTGAACATGACGCGGTGGGAAATATAGTATATTTAGTTTATATAGAAATAGTTTTCCAGTATATTCGAGCGTGGCATCGGCAGTGCTTTCCATTTTATAGTACTGAATATTTGAAATTCTGTTCAATATTTCATGTGAGGAGTTTTAAGAATCGTTTACATTTTCATGTGGATATTTACCTTGACGGTTGAAGTTATGCTGTTTTCTAGGACAAAGAATCTGAAATACATAAAGCTAATATTACAAGAAAAGGCAAGCAGACTTACGATGGTAGTAATCTATGCATGGTCACTGTATTTCAACTCTAGACTAGTTACAGACGAGTTGCCGGGATTTTGACGGCTGGGGTTCAAGGATTGGTAGATTTGGCGTTAAAGACTTTTGGAAACGAGGTGTAAGGAATTTTTACAATAATATATTCGTTGACTTTTGTTGACGTTTGAAAGGAAATAGAGACTGGAAATGAATTTTACTAAACGCGAGTATATACCGCAATTTTGTTATTAATATTTTTTATTTAAAGCATTTCAAAAAACCTTTATCCTTTTTGCTTAGTGGCTTACTCCTTTTACTATTCGATGAGGAATCCAATCAGCTTCAAGCCAAGCCAGGGGCTAACTTTTAGCTGCCACGTTTGACGTGTCGCATTTTGTGTAATGCTGACAATGAATTTGTAATAGTTCCTCCTCAAATAATGTGGTGAGCAAATCGTTATATAATAAAAAAATATAAGTAACTTGATATGGCTGCTGAAAATTATCAATAACAGCTGTGTCTGTTAATAAAAGTTTGGTTAATGATGTGACGAGAATTACAAAGTTTTAACCTTTTTTTTTTAAATAAAACCTTTGGTTTATCTGCGAAAACAAAGCATATAACAAAATATCTTTGTGTATGTTTGCCAGACTAAATATAAATCCACAAACTCTTGACTCTTGTCATAATTTTTACTATCAACACTTTTGTAACTGGCATAGCTAGCAATTCGAGTTTCCGCGAACTAAACAAGTGTAAGTTTTCTCATCTGTGTTAAAGTTGAACTGAACTAAGAAATATGTATGAGTGTACGAGATTGTGAAGTTGTCGAATAGGTAATCTTGAGTCTTAATACATTTCTGTTGTTGTTAATTTTTATTTATGTTTGCAATTAACGTGCAAATTTTGCAATAACGTTCAAATTAGAAAAACTGTCGTATACTTTGAATGGCTTTTTTTTTTGTGAGGGGAAAATCATGAAATACATACATACATACAATGCTCCCGAGTGCTATAGGCTATAAAACACGCTACGATTAAACGGAGCCGGGCAGCGGGTGAAACCGCGCGAGAGTAACTAGTACTAAATATCTGTGAAAACTATAACATCCAGATTATTTACGACATCATCAATATTAAATTCAGAAAACGAAATAAAACCTCGAACATATTTCTCAGAGCATTATTCCGAGAATATCTGAATCAGAATATATATCCGTTTGCATCCTACGATTTCTTGTTTATTCCGTTTCTATGTGCCTTTGTAAAGGCAAGCTGGAAACAGATATTTCACAGTAGCTTCTACATTCCTATTGACTTGCATCGTGACGGACGATTTCTAGTTCAAAGCTGGTAAAATGTGAAGCGTGGTTAATATATGTTGGATTCATATTTAAGGCATTTTTGTTTAGTCTCTTTAAGCAAAAGCTTTTCCAATATTATGTAAGTTATGGATCAGACATTAACAGGCATATTAAAATGTCTTTTGTGATTATGTGACCACCCTAAAATCACATCATACACCATCAGCCCATAAGTGCCCACAGACAGCAGCGGCAAGGACCTCTTCTCGTACAGAGAAGGCGGATTAGTGATTTCTAACTTTTACAAAAAAGTGTAAGTCCAGGTTCCGTCACGATATTTTTCTTCGCTGTATGTCAGTGACGTCTAAGTTATTATAGAAAGTACATATAACTCAAAAAAAGTCACATTGGTACTTGCCAGGCTGCGGGTTCGACACCATATACGCGGAGTGGGCGCCTTAAACTCCGGGCTACCAGGTCAATATATTATTTCCAGAATATCTGCAGCCCATAATGTTAATTAAATATAATATGTTAATTATATGAATGAGTCTATTAATATTGACAATTTTAGTGCTTACAATATTAAAACCACATATCTTTTAATTTATTTTAATGGTCCTAGATTTTGTTTTATACTTACTTTATAATTTACAGCAAACTTTATACTGATAAATGGAAGATTGTTTGACAGAATAAAGGTGTAAAGGTTAAATAAGATTGAGGAAAAGTATGTGGGAGAGCCATGCTCAGGCACGAATGGGTCGGCTCGATCGCAGTGATACCACGGCCTCACAGAAAGCTGGCGTGATACAACCACAGCGTTGTGTTTCGCGGTGCTTACTTGCTTACCATCAGGAAATCCGTCCACTCGTTTTATATTATTATTGAGCACTTACTATTTTAGTACAAACAAAATATTATGAACTGTAACCTCATTTCAATATCTTACCCAACGTTTCACCATTATGGCGAGATAAGCGCTCTCTGGAACATTTTTGCGAAGATATTAAAATTTGACGGCCTCTAAAAGGGTGGTCAAGTAGACGAGAGTAAACGTACCTAACCATTGTAACACGACCTATTTCAAATGTAGGTTATGTAGGATATAACAATGTTGGATTGAAAGACATTCTTAAAGAACGGTGCTGTGTGGTTAGGTGGTTTTTTTTGTGAGGGGAAAATCATCATGTGCCTTCTCTTGCACATGATGATTTTCGGCCGGGCGGGAGGGAGTGTCAGTCTCTTACTGACTAAAAACCCCCCTGTTCCTTCTCCTGCTCTGGGCCGAGGTCGCGGTGCCTCGTTGCGCTTACCCCGCAACACCGACTGAACATCAGCCCTTTAGGGCCCCGTCTGTGGTGGTCTATTGGCTCTTTGAGGCGCGCGCGGAACGCTACGCGCCCTGCGCTCGGGCCTGGTTCTGGTCGGGCGGCGAGCTGCCCTTACTCGCCGACCGCAGACCCGTGCGTGTGGTTAGGCGGTGGAGTTCCTCTTCTCGAGTGATGATATGCGGCCTTCACTGTTGACAGAAACTGAAGTAACAGAGCTCTATATTAACACGTTAAACGCCATGGGGGTCATCGGTGACCTCATTTAGCGAAAGATTTGCCTTCAACAGTTTTCTGTCGGCAGTCAAAGGCTTAACCTTGAACATTTGTATTCTTCGACCAATCTGCCAACCCCGGAGATTACAACAAATCCTCTTATTTATCAGGGATAGTTAATGTGTACTGTCACTTGTGGTTGGTATTGAAAAAGAATTGGTTGATACGTTTCCTTGTTTTCAGCCATTGGGTTTTTTTTTTTGAAAACAGTATCCCTAAGTCAAGCGAGATATTGGGTTGAGGATATTGAGATGTTGGGTTCTTACTGACTTAAAATCAGACCATTCCTTCTCTTTGATCAGATAACTATTTCAGGCGCACGCGGAACTGTGAGCCTTACGCTCGTTATGTATATCTTTCTTCTCTCGACCGGACCAGAACCATTGACGAGCGTTCTAAGAGCCATTAGTATTTTACGTATGCAAGCTCAATAATATACCGCGTCTCCAATCCGGAGAAAAGAATAGTTTTTAGCCAATAATTTTCTGACATTTCGTGTCACCCCATCTAGGGATAAGTCATTTGATGATTTGCTACAGTCTTTGACAGTTTTTACAGTCTTTCTTTAGAAATTCATAGATTTCGACCAATACCGCTGACTTAAGCATTAAAATGCAATAGTAATGCAGTTTTACTCACTTTTAATTTTACTAAAATTGTTTTTTAATTTTACAGTGAACTAGGTTTCAAATAAAAGCATTCTTTAGGTATTCACATTATTTAATATTATTTATGTATAAAAGTCTCTTATTTCAAACACTATATTACTTTATCCACTCTCGTTATAGAATCGGCTTTCGGTTCTCCTGGCAGGTAAAATGCTGCTATAATTCCACCTGGAATAAAAATACTTGAATTAATGTACTTTCTCAAAATGAGTTAAAAGTACAACATTTTATTGTTTTAAAAAAGAAAAACCTGTTCGTTTTTTAATAAAAATATTCCGTTTTAAATTAGTGTTTAAATTATATTCATTATATTAACAAAGAACAGTTTCAAGGAAATTAAAAATTATTGTGTTATTTTCATTAAAATAATTATGTCACAGATACCTTTTAAAATGGACTCTTGCTAACTTATTTACATATCACATTTGCAATATTACAATATGAACAAAATTAAAATAAAACAAAGAATAGTTTTGTCCGGAGATTCCTTTCTCTAGAGCCCTGACCACCGCTTGCTTGGAACCCTCCAGTTACCTTTTTATACTTTTGAAAAGTTTTTTTTTAGAAAATATTTTTAAATATGTGGAAAATCTACTTTAAATGTAAATAAAAGAATAATACAAAGAATAAAAGTCAATAACATTTTAGTAAATATTTTCTAAGATACTAATTTACAAAAAAATACTTACTGAAAACAAATATCGACCACCCGTAGAAGGTTATCCGGCAGTAGTCGACGATGGTGGCTCCAACTACATTCACGCCACCGAGGCACACAAACCTGGCAAACATCATGCCAAGACTGGTCGCTAGACCCCTGGTGTTGAGAAACAGAATATAAATAATCAAAAGTAACTATAAGAATATTAACTCAATAAGAATTTTACTAGTGTGTGTGTTAGTTTTTTAGTTTTTAGTTAGTTTAAGTGCTAATATATCGATTAGACAATGACATCATTATTTAGTAAATTAAAAGTATGAGAGAGCCATCCTCTGACACGAATGGGTGGCTATACCAGATTGATACCATTTTTTTTTTTGTGTGGGGAAAATCATCAAATTACTTCTCCCGCCCAGGGCTAGGCGGGAGGGAGTGTCAGACTCTTACTGACTAAAAACCCCCTGTTCCTTCTCCTGTTCTGGGCCGAGGTCGCGGTGCCTCATTGCGCTTACCCCGCAACCCCAGCTGAACATCAACTCTTTAGGGCCCCGTCTGTGGTGGTCTATTGGCTCTTTGAGGCGCGCGCGAAACGCTACGCGCCGCACGCTTGGGCCTGGTTCTGGTCGGGCGGCGAGCTGCCCTTACTCGCCTCGCTCGCTTCGGATTGATACCATGGCCTCACAGAAAACTGGCTTGAAACAACAACAGCGTTGTTTCACCGTGTGAGTGAGGTTACTGGAGACCCAATCTTTCTTCTCCTTCCCCAATCCTCAAATCACCGATACCCTTATCCCCAAAAGGCCGTAAAATCATGCGGGTATCCATGGGCGATGATTGGTTACCATCAGATATAATGCGTCATTTGCCGTCTAAGCAAAAAGATCCTAGAAGAAAAAAAAACAAAAGAAAACACCGATCTATTTCAAAAAACCTAGAGGACTACTCAAAATTACTCAACATTCAATATGTTGAAATAAGATGGATTAGCGATTTCAAACTTATAAAAGTACACGTACCTAACTCGAAAAAGTCACATAGAAATATTTTTAAATAGTAAAAAGAAAAAACAACTGATTTTCTAAATAGATTATTTGATAACAGATACATGTGTTTCGTACAGTATTATGTATTAGTAAAGAATAGGTCGTTCTCAAAACCAATCAAGCACTAGGCTAGCAAAGATAAGAAAGCAGTTCCAAGCCACTTGAGAAATGTGAAGAAAGTTGTAAAAATTGTACGCAAGTTCTATTTTAAGTTATTTTGATAAGTTGGCATTTTACCAAGTGGCTCTTATCTTGGTTTCAAGCTATCTTAAGGATGACGTCACGTCTTATGGCCGATGATAAATCTAAATCTACAATGAAATCGTTTTACTTTGGACATTTGTTTTGGATCTATTAATTAGCAATTTTGTTAGCTACGGGCCTTAAAGTTGATTTCGGGTTTTACAAACGTGGCTTTAGCTTTCAAAACAATGGCGCCATTCTTTCTTAATATTCTTTATGAAGCTATTATAGAGTTTCATCAAAAGTTATTTACTTCGGACGGGATCATTAACCTAAGTAATTTTAAGGATTTAGATATATTCGTCAACAGTAAACTCTAGATTGAGTAAGAAGATGAATTTATGACATATCTTTTTTCAACATTATTAGTGCATTTTGGACTTAAAAATAAACTGACTGATAATACTATATATAAACACTGAGAGGATAAACAAATACAGCCAACTTAAAAGTACCAATAGTAAAAAGAATTTAAAATTCAATCACTCACCTATAAGAAGTAGGAAAGATATCAACGTAATATGAACCCACGGTTCCAATACATATGCCAGTAAATTGAATGGCAATGAAGAACACCATACTGGCGGCTGGTTGTCGCACCATATCGACCAGAATACAGCTGACTCCAGAGATGATAAAGGTGCTTATCATCAGGGTCCGTCTCCAGTTGGAGAGGGCAATGATGATCATGTTAAAACTTGTGAAGAAGAGAGTGAAGAGTAGCCCTGAGTAGATTGTGTTGATGGGATCAGCATCTATACAGGTTTCCTGAAAAATGATACGAGTTCAAGGTTAAAGAGTAAAGATGCATCGGATCGAGACAGTACGTAGCATCGACTTAATAAATAATTATTATGGTTGAAATAAGTTGTAGACAAACTAGGTTTTTTGCGGGGCAAGCGCAATAAGATAGAGAAGGAACTTGGGTGAGAGACTTAGGCTGTAAACTTAAGAGATTTAAACTTAGAAGTAAGAGTCTGATAAATCCTCCCGCCCCACCCTGGGCGCGAGAAGACATTTGCTGATTTTCCACTCGCACGCACAAAAAAAACGCTACATTTTTTTGCTTTAGAGAGTTATTAAATACTTTGAGGACAACTTTCGAATAGTAACTATTGCGAGACGTACAAAACGTACGCCGCTCATAATGTGAGTGACTTGAAATAATGTAGTACAGATAATCTCAGTTAATACACAGCAAGAGAGTAATTACGACGAAATAATGGTTAATCAGAGTTCTTTTGCTGTGTTGTTTCAGTTTTCTGCTCATCTTGCCAGACCAGCAAAATGTCATCACTAAACATTTAAATCAATAATAGCTCAATTCTCAAAGACATATAAAACGTGTTTTTGATATGCATTTTGTGTCTTTCATTTGTTTTATTTTTTGTTTTGTCTACCTAATACAACTCACATTATAAGAACTAGGTGTGATGTTGGCGACGACTTTTTCGCAGAAACGTGAATCTTCTGACACAGTCGTGAAGAACGAGTTGACCATCGTTGGGAACCACATGAAGAAAACATTATTTCTGAAACAATAGACAAATAAAGCCTAAACTAAGGTGCATGGTAGAGAAGACAAAGCTTCCTAGATTTTGAACGAAAACATTTATTTATATCACTTATTACACCATCATATCATAAAAATGACTAATTAATAAGATATAAGACTATCATATTATAAGAATTGACTGCACGGTTGGTCCGGTGGCTGGGCAACTGGCTGCCGTGCAACGTGTCGCGGGTTCGATTCCCGCACGAAACAACTCTTTGTGCGATCCACAAATTCTTGTTCCGGGTCTGGGCGTCATGACAATGTGTATGTGAAATTGTATGTTTGTAACCGCACCCACGACACAGGAGAAAATCCTAATGTGGGGCAACGTTTTTTTAAAAAGAAAAAAAAAAGAAAAAAAATGATAAACATGTTAAAAACCCCATCCCCAGTTGCATACTTTTTTTAAATATGAGATGTACAACATCAAGCATCGCTATCAAGCCCAGTTTAACGCTATCTGTATTGTTCATTAGAGTGTTTGAAAAAAGCCTTGTCCAATATTTTGTTTTTACGACAACATTTGTCACGAGCTCAGATATTTATTTAAATAAATACTCATTGTACTTAATTAATTAACATCATAACGTCTTAAGAATCTTGTTTTACTTCCGCATTGCTTTATCGTCGCAAAAAAAGAAACCGGTTTTATCATTACAATTTTATTTACATCAAAATATTGTTATTGGACCATTTTTTTATGGTATAAGTCGGCAAACGAGCAGACGGATTACCTGATGGTAAGCAATCGGCGCCGCCCATGGACACCCGCAACACCAAAGAGTTACGAGTGCGTTGCCGGCCTTTTGGGGATATAAGGATCGGGAAGGGATAGGGGAGGGGGAGGGATTGGGCCTCCGGTAACCTCACTCACACGGCGAAATACAATGCTGTGGGTTTTTTCACGCCGGTATTCTGTGAGGCCGTGGTATCACTCCGGTCGAGCCGACCCATTCGTGCCGAAGCTTGGCACTCCTAGACTTATTATGATAGTGCTCTTGGACTGTTAAGTGGTTCAACGTGTATCATTGGTCAAGAGATTGACGTCCTCAACGGAGCAGGCGTTTACTTCCTTGACACAAGCTCGCGAATATGTATCCGATTCGACAATGAGTCCCGACTAGGCGTACAATTTGCAACTTAAGAAACATCATCATCAGCCTATATGTGATCACTGTTGAGCAAAGGCTTCTTCTCGCACAGAAAAGGTTGAAGCATTAATTACCACGCTTGTTCAAGGCGGATTGGTGATTTCAAATTTCTAATTAGAAATTATAATCCCAGGTTCCCTTTTTATCATTATTTATTTTAAGACGAGACTGATACTCTTTCACGTGTAAAATACTGGCTGAAATTTGATAACAATTGGCAAAGAGATATAAAGATTAAAATCTGAAATAACACACACATAGGCTTTTTATTATCCGGATAACGTAAGGAAATCGGATGACAAAAACTAGTAAAATATAATGGAGTTAATTAACATATTTTTTCGATTCCATAAACCGACTTTGTTACTCTTTCATTCACAAGAGATCTAGGTTAGTCTATGTATCATGGTAATATATATTAATTTACTAAAGCTTACTTTTTTAATTAAACATATTCAAAAGTTTAGGATTTAATACGCTAGGCACAAATAACAACACACGCTGCAAAACGATGTACAACAAATTAAAAATATAATTGGCTGCATGTTACATAATTTGTTATATAATTAATAAATGTTAATGCTGTTGGTCCTCCAAATAATAAATAAATAAATAAATAAATAAATAGAACGCGAAAAACATTACAAAAATAGAAGCTAAAAATCCCCTAATTCTGACGCACTGTTAAATCCCTCTGTATCGCTTTTACCTAATTTCAATTCAATTTTGTATTGTTTGTTATTTAAACAACGTACAAAGAGCACTTTTGCTTCCAAAATTGTATCGATATTATGCTTAAAGGTGGAATAAATGTTTACGGGATCAAATGGCATTTATTGTTGAGTGGATTTTGAGTCGTTTGCATTAAGGGTCGCAGAGATTGAAATGTCAAATTGCCAAACCTGTTGGTGATTTTTAATGTAAATTAATTTTGGGAGCGAATTCTTGTCTGACGTTCTATGACTATAGATGTCTTCAAAATACGTAAAAGTCCCATATGAAAATGAATTACTCTTGTAATGATTTCTGAATTTACATAGACCACTAGCATTTGCCCGCGACTTGGAATAGTGAATTCCTGCTTATGGTATAAAAAGTATCACATGTATTTTCTGGAGCTCCAAACGACAAAAAAGAAAAGACAGACAGAGCTACTTTCGCATTGTTAATATTATTTTGTATTGTGTAGATTTGGATTAAAATTTTGAGAGTAGATTGGGATAATTATCTCTTAGAATACTACGGAGTGTAAAATTTGCATTAGGAAAACTATACACTTTAAATAATAGTAATAGATAGGAAGTAAGTTAAGCGTGTGAGAGCCTTGCTTTGCCACGAATAAGCCGACCGGTTTTAAACAACGACTTTACAAAAATCTGGCGTGAAACAAGTACAGCGTTGTCTTTAGTCATCTAAGAGAAGTTACTAGGCAATCGTTACTCCTGTGTTTGTGTGCCCATGACCTAAGATGTCTGAATAGATATGTAATTACTTAAGAAAAAATCCTTCGGCAATTTTTTATACACTGCTTCATTTATATTTACATTGTCAAATTTCTTCGCATTTAATAAGTTTCAAAATTGTTATATTTGAAAGCTTTTGTTTACATTTACATTTGGCTCCTTTTCCATTATTCCTCTCATTAATCTCGGAACGGATACAAAATTAAGAAAGATGAAATTGTCCTTAAGGTAAAATATTCAAGTACCATCTTCAAGCATCATTAAGGTAGAATATTATTTCTTGTTTAATATTCCTGTATTGTTATTTTGGATGGAAAAATAGGTATTGTCTGTATTTTAATATGTTGAAAATGTTTCAATCTAGATAATTGGCAATTTTTTATTGGATTGATCGGCAAATGAGCAGATGGATTACGTGATTGTAAGCAATTGACGCCGCCCATGGAAACTCGTGACACCAAAAGTTAAGGTTACAAGTCCGTTGCCACTCCTTTGTGGGTTATTAGGAATTTCAGAATAGTAGATTCTTAAGTTTCATCAAAAAGTAATAATTATTTTTTTTGCCTAACTGTTCAATACCATCTAACTAATTCCTAGTTTTGATAACTCTACCAGAACCAGTTTCGCTTTTTTTGCTCATCTTTTAAATTATCATCATCAGTCTTTGTGTGTCCCCTGCTAAGCTAAACACCACCAGCTTCTAAAATCTGCTAAGCAAAGCCTCATCTCAAATAGAGAAAATTTCAACATCAATCACCAACCTTGAGCTAGGCGGTTTGGTAATTTCGAACTGTTCATCTATTTAGTTACGATATTTTCCTACACCTATCAGTGGTGCTTGAATAAATTAAAAATAGTACACATATTGTAACGTGTACAAAGTCGTAGATATATGTACTTACTCGTGACTAAAGTTAGGCTAAGTCAAAGTTAAGTATTAATTTCTTGTACTCACGTGCTGCAGCAGATTGCGAACAGCAGTAATAGTTGCAGGGACCTCCAGAGTAGCGGTGGTTTTATGATTGGCACTGTCTGCTTTATTACTGATCTCCAAAACGAAATCGTGCCGTCTGGTTTGTCCACTTTCATTAAAGACTTTACCTGAAATCGCAGAAATTTTTGTAAGAGTTTTATTTCTAAATCCAGGCCAGCTTTTTTTGTCTTTTTTTTTGTTAGCTATTTCTAATTTTGGTGGTTTCGTAAGTTTTTGATTATAAATAGCTACATTGTAATGACTCTGTGAAAACAAATGATTCTACAACGTTGTTATAGATATAGGCACTTACAGGATATACACTGTGTTTTCCATTATTCGTTTTATGAATAGACTGCAGTACTTCTAGTGCTTTGTCTGTTTCTCCCAGGTTCGCCAAGAACTTTGGACTTTCGTGGAGGAAGCACAACATGACCGAGCCTATGCCTAATGGAAACGTCATCAGGAGTGTGAGGAGCCGCCACGGTCGATATGTGTTCAGTAATGGTAAAGGAACGCTGAACTCTAGAGGTAGGATGAAGTACGCCAGAGCTGAAAAGGAGAGAATTTGGTATCAGTCTATCTGGTATCTGAAGAATTTTTACTTTATATTTTTTGTTCTTTTGTACGATCTTGCTAATAAGAGTAAAATATTGATGTATAATGCCTTTAGAAATGTTACTTCTTCATAGTTCTTGTTTGATTTCCTATTTATATTGGTGTGCTTTCGTTTCAAGTTCCAAAAATCAAAAATGTCAATCGTCATTAAGGTAGACGTTCCAGCTCTATTCTACAAATTTCTCAGATACTCACAATTCAACCCTTATCTCAATCTGCTCTCAAAAACTCTTCACTTTTCTAATTTCGACAAATCCATAACACCCGACATTTTTGTAAAATCAATGAAAATCCTCTCACCAAAGCAAACAAAGTCAGCTGCAAGACTAAACACATTCTGTATGAACATGTATCTGTTCCTCCATTCTTTTGGTGTGCACTCTCCGAGGAAGGTAATTGTTAAAGTTATTGATGCTGTAGAACTGAAATCATAAAGAGAGAAAAATGTTAGACGACTTGCAGATAACAAAACAGCTGAAGTGTAGACGAGAATGGACCGACACTTACTTTTTGCTAAGCAGTATAAGTGGGATTACCAGAGGCCCAATCCTTCGCCACCGCCCTCATCCTAATCCCCAAATTCCCTAGGTATCTTTAAATCCTTAATAACCCGGATGACAATCCACTTTAATGGTTATATTATGGAGTTAAATGGTATTACTAGGGTCAATGGGCGGCACCGATTGCTTACCATCAGAAATTTCGTCCTGTGTCCATAAAAATCTCCAATTTCAGCAGAAAGCCTACGTTGAAAAGAGACATAAAAACACTGAGTACCTAAGTTACAATTGCTTTACAATGACCTTTCAAACATGTTATTGTTACACGTTAACGGTGTATTTTTCCGACACAATATGTTTTCTAGTTTTAGAATAGTTTTGCATAACAATAAATTAAACATACGAAAGTTTCTTGGCCTTTAATATACCATGATATAATAGGAGTGTCAATAAGTTAAGTATGTGATGAAAGGCATAAAATGAAGCAAATATTTAAATAGATGTATTTATGTATTTTTGAGTTTAAATTATAAAGGGAAGCAACAATTGATTCAAATATAGAAGTTGATTGTTTTTCTAAATGTAGGAGAGCCAAGTCTAGTGTGTGAGTAAGGTTAACCCTAATCTCCAAAAGGCCGGCTACGAACTCGTCACTATTCTGGTGTTCATGGGCTGCGCCGACTGCTTACCATCAGATAAACCGTACTTACTGCTCGTTTACCAACATAGCATATAAAAAAATATTTACAATGTTTTATTATTTTCCAAAATTTACGATTTTGATTGCTTGATTGCCTTGTTAGTCGTTTGATTATAACCGCGACTTTTAACTCCTAATTGTGATCCTTGGTGTAAGTTTGGATTAGAAGAAAAATATATTTGTTTGCGATTTAGACCATCATTTGTGATATTCTGTTCAGTTTTTGATATAAGTTCATTCCTAGGCACGTGGGACTCATAAAGATGAAAAATGGAAGCTATAATTAAATATGTATCTATGTTGTATTTCTCTGCGTTCCAGCGACACTGTCCTGGCGGCGCCATCGCCACCAGCTGTCTAAACCGGTCCAGAATATTCAGACACCGCTGACGAGCCGACCCTACTGGTATAGAAAAACCTAACCGGTTAGATTAGAGGCAAACTTCAAGTCTGATTAAAATAGTAACTGGATATGCAACTTTTTGCTTATTCACATATTTATCATATCAATTTTTTTGTCAGGTAAGATCATCAAATGACTTCTCCCCAGTTTCTTCTCCTGCTTTCGACTGGGGCCGCCGTATCCCGCGCCGGACATCAGTCCTCTAGGCTATAGGCAGGGGCCTGTAGTGGTCAATTGGCTCTTTGTGGGGCGGCATAAGGATGCAGGTTTAGATGTTGCAGATGCAAGGACTATTATGTTTCGCAGCTGCAGCTCCGGTCTGGGGTGGAAAGAAGGATTTGGTGGTTTTGAGTCAGTTAGAGTTTGACTCTCCCTCTCGGAGAAGTGATTTTCTTTTTCAGTCATAGCGTCTCTCTGTCTACGATACTCTCATGTGTTTTTTCATAAATGAGATGTCATTTTTTCGCAAAGTTAAAATTTATACAGGAGCAAACAGCTAGGTAATGGATAAATACTTACAAACTGGAAGCCAGGAATTTGAGGACAAGCATCATGTAGAAGTCGGTGGAGAGGCTCGTCAGGCTGGAAAGAATGAACCCTGCTGTTGAGGAGATTAGGAGGGCTTTTTTTCTTCCTTTAGTATCAGCTGTATATCCCCAAGGTAAGGCGAATATGAATCCTGAAATGGAACCAAAGTAAGTATGTAACAACTTATAAATTCCAAATACCTTGTGTAACAACTACCTGTTCAAGTGTGAAGGAGCCATAACTCGACTCGAATGGGTTCCTTTGGTATTACGAGAGCCCATGAGCAGCGCTGATTGCTTACCACCAGGTAATCCGTTTTCTCGTTTGCCGACCTATGACATGAAACATAACTTCAAGAATGTTCTTAAATTTTCTATAACTTGAAAGGGAAGAAAGTTCTCAATGCTGCCGTATTCTTTTAAAAGTATATTTCGACATATTTGTTTGCTTTTTACACGTAATCGGAAAAAATCAACATGTTTGGTTTGAAGTTTTTCTTCTCAATCCAGACTAAAAAGGTGAATGATCAGGTACAATAGAATCTGCTGGTGACCTTGAGTTTTTAATGCATTTCTTAGTCATGAATCCTATTATTGAAGAATCTCCTAAAAAGTATTTTCTCTTTTTAACACAATACTTGTATAACGCTATGCATAACAATTACACAGTGGTACTAACCACATGCCAATGTTCAATCATCTCAAGCGTCTGCCACCAAGGAAATTTTCGACAAAATAGAATAACTACAACCATTATCACACACTTAACATCTAAAACAATACCCCAGTCATTACAAGAATTGTACTAAAAATAATTTAAGTAAACACATTTTTATTTTTGTACGCAATTATTATTGTTAACTGTTTTTTTAGCGTTGACGTGAGTCACGAAGTTCTGTAGTCCAACAGAATACTAATTTGATGTTAAGAAAATACTTTTTTCAAGGCATAACTTTTTTATAACCAGATTGCTTGGTGGTGGTTTGTCCGTTAGTGAAATTGAAACGATACTACTTGGCTCTCTGATTGATTTGATTCATCAATCAGAGATCATTGAAGTCAATCAGATCTCCAAACATCATAAACGATTTGATAACTTTATCTTTAATCAAACGAGTAGATGGATTTCCCGATGGTATGCGATCAGCGATGTCAGTGTGATGGGCATCCGCAAACTAATTATCTCAAGTAGTATTCTGAAGCCATGACAAAAACCCTATGAAAAAATTTTTTTTTTTCTGACAAGCCCGCCGCTACCTCCTGAAGACGCTGCAACTCCTGTAAACCAGGAACTACAGAATATAAAACTATGAAAATACCGGAACACTGAAGTCCGGCGCTTTCCAGGGACATGAATGACTGTCTTGGTTGTCGTTCCGTAACGAAATAAATCAGAAGATATTATTTGAGAAGAGGAAAAACTAAATAGTTTTCACTTCCCTCGGTAAATTTAGACGACTAATTTAGGCACAATATAGACTCAAGTTGAATGATGAAGTTTATAGGAATCTCGATATTGCTTTTCAAAAACTATCATATATATGTATAGTTGGCCTTTTCTTCGAACAAAAAAAAAGAAATACGGTCATACCAGCAAAAGAGACTGATGTGAGCATGCCACTGTGTTCTAAACTTAAATCTAAGTCACAGCTGGCTGCGGGCACCACCAGGCTGTAGCCCAACATGTCCACGACTGCGCCCAGCATGATGATGCAGCAGGTGGAGAGCAGGGTGAAGTTGTAGCGGCCATTTCCTGGAATCAAAAGAAACAGAACTTTTTTTATAAAGAGACCCATAAGAATATCCTGAATTAGGTAGATACTCTGACGACATCCGCAGGGTGGCTGGCAGTGGTTGGATGAGAAGAGCTGAATGATGATGATGCGGTAGATACTCAAAAATAATTTATTACCATTTTTCAACAACACAATAAAGCTATTAAGATTTATATGACACTTTCATTCACTGATTTTAAACACAAAATATAATTATTTTCAGAAAGTAATGATTCTACAACTCTGAATTTAATTTGGCCCTGAGATAGATTTTGTACTATCAGGAAAAGCACGTAGAATCTTCTTGAAGGGGGACTTCATCAAATAATTTGGCAGTTAGACTCTTACTGACTACCACACTGTAGGCCTACCATGACGTGTTAAAAAGTGAATCTTCCGGGCGAGAAAGAGGGATGGAGCTATACACCTTTTATAGTCCTTCTCTGTTCCTTCTCCAGCTTTAGGCCGGAGCATTGGTATAATATATTACTGTGCTTGTATCTTTAACCCCGGATAACAAATAATTTACCATTTACTCTTTACCTGCAAGCTAAGCTAGCAAAAGCTTAACGACTTACTCACATGAATGTTATTACCAAGAAAAGCGTGTCGCTTACTCACGCTACTCATAAATCAGTTAATTCACGTGAGTAAGTCCTATTTTTTTTATTAAATTTAGTATGTCTCAAGATCGTTACTAGTAAAAAAAGGTACTAGAAAATTCGGTTTGGCTGTATATTATTATATGTACTTGTGTATTTATTTATTATTATTTATCTACAATATTTATTGATGAACTTGTAAATAGCCTTGTGGTTTTTCTAATCTTCTATACTTACTTGTTTTTTTCTTAAGAAATGTTGAACTTCGCATAGATAAATGAACGATTATAGCAATTATCTAGTAAATTCCATACGATTCAGAGTCAACTCAGTGGCATTCGTTAGTGTGGAAATCAGATTTTTATTTTTCTTGACAACATATTACTTATACAAGGAAAATAATAAAAGGTTTTCATTGTAGACAGAATTAGTTGGATTAAATACAAAACAAGAACAAAATGTACTCTGTGGGATTTGATATTGTTTTTTTTTAATATCAACCGCGTCCGATGCCATCTGCCAAAAATAATACGCAATGGCATTAAAAAAATAGTAAAGTATAAAGTACTTTACCAGTGTCCAGGCTTTTAATTACTCGTCTAACTAATCCAATGTTTTTTTATGTGATAGGATGGCAAACCTTTTTGATAACCCGATGGTAAGCAATCAGCGCCGCCCATGGACACCCGTAACAACGGAGGAGTTACGAGTGCATTGTAGGTATGGAGATTTTGGGATTGGCGAGGGTTTGGGGGAGGGTAAGGATTGGGCCTCTGGTACCCACACTCACACTGCGAAACACAACGCTGTTGTTGTTTTACGTCGGTTTTATGTGAGGCCTTGGTATCGTGCCAAAGTCAAAGTCAAAGTCAAAAATCATTTATTTCAATTAGACCACAGTAGGCACTTTTGAACGTCAAGCAAGCAAAAAAGGAAAAAAGTATATAACATGAGCTTTAAAATTAATCGTGTCAGTCTGTCCGTCTGTCCTCTAGTGAAGCTATTTGCTCGTTCCAAAGTGTAGATTCCTATGGAGAAGAACGAGCAAGAAACTCCATGGTTACTCTTTTTCAATCAGTTTTACAATACATTTCTTTGTTACATCATTTAGTCGGTTCTGATATGTGAAGCATAGCTCTTTCACACAGTGTACGTTAATGATTTAAGTTTTTTCCTTTGTTATAAGTCGAAATAAAAAATAAATAAATGACCAATAATCTAAATGTATTTGTAGCACTGACAGATGAGGTCAAGTTAACTACGACATACTCTACAGAGGTCGATGAACCCGCAATCACGAAACTATTACAAAAACAGAGTCTTGTAGTTAAATGTTTATACGAGTATTTGCAGTTTATTGAAGGCTAGCGACTCATCCCGCCAATTCCCTCACCAATCAATGGATGTTATTATACATATACACCTTCCTCTTCAAACACGCCGTATATTATAGAAAAAACGTAAAAAAAATCAATTAAAGCATATAGGGTTATAAGAACAGAGAAAGTGAATTTGATTTACACTATGAAGTGAGTGGTGACTAACTACTTTTCACTTTGAATTTTATTATAAAGTTCTTCGACACAAAACTGTATGGTTTTTTATTTATTAACCTTGGATTTTATGTGATATTAGGTAAGTAGTGTTGCCTCAAGGAGTAGACAAAGACGTAACAACGTACCTACATAATATTATGTTATCTTTAAATTTTCCTCGTTTTTCTTTTTTCATTCGTTCAGGGTGGCACGAGTGCAAAATCACTGTCCCTATATTTTGTTATTTTTTTCGAAACGACGCGCACGCTGCTTGTAAATAAATGTCCCGTTGCGATTACTGAAACTAGTAGAGCTCCGCTCAAATTATTCATGTTGTTGTTATTTCACATATACCTAAACAAATGATTTACATTTTGAAAAATTTCTAAAAAAATTAAAATAATAAAAAAAAACGTTTAAAAAATATAAAAAGAAAATATTTATTTTATTATCATCAGCCGTTATCGTCCCACTGCAGGGCAAAAGTTTTATGCAGTAGAAATATTAATAGGATATGCTTAATACTAAAAGAAGTTTCTAGTTTTCACTATTATAAAGGTACTGGATATAATATTTGATGGTCATACATAACTTTCATTTTTAAAACGCGCACGTGAGTATCGGGCTTATTAACCTATGGTCCACCTTGACGCCAACCTAACCAATATCATACCTAAAAGGAAAATTGATAAAAGGCAAAACTTAATAATCAAACTTGTTATCAAATATTAAACAAAAAAAAAATGTACCTAACACTAGAATAGTACACAGACGAACTTAATTTTATCTTTTTTTTCCTGATCAACAATGTTAGGGTTTTCCCGGTGTCAGTAGGTGGGGCTTGGGCAATGTATCTATGATATTTAATATGCAAAATTATTCGCAATCTTAGTATAATAATATCATCAACATTCAACTCGTGATTGACCACAATCTTGAATTTAATAAGCTGCGTTTCACGAAATATTTCTGACACGTGACCATGTGACACAAGAAAGTCAAATTATATCTATTACTAGCGGCCCGCCCCCGCTTCGCACGGCTCCATCTATCTCGTTATCAAAGGGTCACTTTTTCCTAATCTTCCCCTCTACTTTTGTAATATATTCTTGATAAGAACCTTCTCCTGACAATTACAAACACAACAAAAAAGAATTAGCAAAATTGGTCCAGGCGTTGTTGGGTTATGCGCTTACCAACACATTCTGCGATCCATTTTTATATATAAGATTAATTATCAATCATCATCATTATCACCAGCCTATAAATACCTGCTGCTGGGAAAATGCCTCTTGTCAAACGGAGAAGGTTTGAGCATTTATCACCACCCTTGCTCAAGGCAAATCCGAGATTTCCAAATTTTTTTGTAGAAAATATTTTATTTTAGTTTAAGTTTCCTCACTAAGACTTTTATACATTATTTGTGAACATAAGAAAGAACAATGTATAACTCGGAAAAAGTCACATTGGTGTTTCCAGGTTTCAAGTCTTAACTCCCGGGGACCACAATTATCTTACTTATTGTACCAAATTGTGGGAGAGCCATGCTTCGGCTCGAATGGGTCGGCTCGACCGGAGTGATACCACGACATCACAGAAAACCGGCATGAAACAACCACAGCGTTGTATTTCGCCGTGTGAGTGAGGTTACCGGAGGCCCACTCCTTCCCCTCCCCCAATCCCTAAATCTCGAAATCCCTAATCCCTAAAAGGTCAGCACTCGTAACTCTTCCGTTGTCCATGGGCGGCGCTGATTGCTTACCATCAGGTAATCTGTCGTTTGCCGACCTATTACATACAAAAAACCAAATCTAAAAATAACAGAATTGTTGAAAAAGTACAGACTTGATAGTTAACAAGAATCTATGGCTAATTTGAGTTCATAATAGGGCTGATTCACCTATCTTAAGTAATCTTGAAGTTACGTGTATACCTACATACATACATGTTGTTCCATTGATTTCTAAACCGCTAAGCGTTTAAAATGCTAATTTCTGCACGTGATGTACAAATGTAACTTTTCCTTATACGAAATTAATTAACAATTTGTAAACAAACAAATTTTTTACCACTTTAACAATTTTAGCAATCTTATGACGCATAGTGGCGAAATGTTTTTCAAACACATGCCCATTAAGAGGAAGAAACATATTTTGTCATATACCATGGTGGCCCCACATCTGGTGAATTTAAATACTTGATATTTTTTATTATTATTATTACTGATGTCGTTAAGAATAATTTATTCCGTGCGGACAACGAACCTTCTTTAGGAACTCATGACATCGCAGTCAATCGCCTACATATGTCATCATTATTGAATTATAATTTTTAAATAATACTTGGTGAAATTAATAAAATTTTCGAATATTTTTAGTCTTTTCGCTTTATTAGAGAGGCTTATAATTTAAGTTCTTAAATTATTTTGCAATCTTTATCTTTAACTAGGCTAACTAATAGAATATAATGAACGAATAATTATGCAAAAAATGTTGATTGAGTTATAAATGTTATATAGTATAGAGTTGAAATTGATAAAAACTATATCATTACTTGTGACAAGTATGCACTGCTTTTGCTAGATGTATCATTGTGTAAATAAAGAATTTACAAGCAGTACCAGATTATTAAGTAACTGATAGTGTAAAAAAGCATCACTGTCGAGCCGACCTATTCATACCGAACCATAGCTTAATAAATTCGTATCAATTAATTTACCGTTGCATATTATAATGAATATACTTATATTTTTCCTTGTAAATAATGTTTAAACAACTATTCGAAAAGTCAATATTCGAGGTTTACATATGTACAATTGTCGTTATTTATTGTATGTGCCCATTTTGTAAACGTCATACACGTGATACCGGCCCTACTTTCCTACTAAGTATATAGAAAAATGTGAAAGTTTGTTTGTTTGGACCTTTTCTAACACATATTTACATTATATTATTAGTGTAGAGATCTTGTAAGGGTTATTAGTCGCTGAAGTGAAAGTCGTTTTTAGTTTATAACTAGCTCTTATCCGCGACTCTACCTATCGTACTCTACCTACCGTACTCTACCTACCCTACTCTACCTACCCTACTCTTCCTAACCTACACTACCTACCCTACTCTACCTAATACAATACCTACACCTACCATACCTACTCTATCCTATCCTATGTCCTTCTCCCAGTCCTTAGCTCCCTCCCTACGAATTTTCAGCCAAATCAGTTCAGCCGTTCTTGAGTTATAAGTGGAGTAAATAACACGACTTTCTTTTATATATACATATATACATAAATAATATTTACGTTATGACATGGAGCCAGGAATTACCTATACATCTACCTTGTCAATAGACCACCACAGACGGGGCCCTATAGGGCTGATGTTTAGCCGGGGTTGCGGGTCAAACGCAATAATGTACGGTAGCTCCGGCCTGGAGCAGGAGAAGGAGAAGGAACGGGATGGTTTTTAGTCATCAAGAGTCTGACACTCCCCCTCGCCGCATCCAGGGTTAGAGAAGTCATATTTTGATCATTTAGACATCAATAAGCTACATCAGTAAGCGCGGGTCTGCGGACCAGAACCAGACCGTGCCGCGCGCCTCAAAGAGCCAATAGACCACCACAGACGGAGCCCTATAGGGCTGATGTTCAGCCGGGGTTGGCTCCGGCCTGGAGCAGGAGAAGAAGAAGGAATAGGGTGGTTTTTAGGCACCAAGAGTCTGACACGCGCCGAATCCAAGAAGAGAGAAGCCTTCAACCTTATGTTTATCTAAAAGACTGGTTGTCTAGAATAAAAGTACTATTTTATTTATTATTAATTACATAGTATTGCCATGGACATATCGAGAACAATCGATAGTAAATCGTTAAAAAGGTAAGTTGCTCACGCCTGACCTCATTATTTATGATATTTTTACGTACTTATTGCACGTTTTGTATACTTTTAAATGCTACAGTTTATCGAGGAGATAACAAAGATATTTTGTTCGTGTTTCATTGTGTTTTTGTGGATCATTTATTTTACTTGTGGGATTCGAAGCCGCGATACAGTCCGTGTTGCAGCAAATCAATACAAAATGGTTATTTTCTCTAAAAAGTACTACAAATGATACAACAACAGTAATATTAACGACAAACACTGTGTTAGGAAGAAGTAGTAGATAAATGTAAAAATATTTTTTCTTAAATTGTAATTGATTGATTGGTAAATTAAGTTTTTATTTTATTTTATAAGAACGATTTTTGTTTACATTAATTTTAGCTATCAAATTTAGGTATAAATAAATATATTGATATTATAATATTTTATTTTGTAGTAGTTTTTTTTTAATATAATTAAATAAAAACTTTTAAAAAATTTATCGTATGTAAGTAGACTACAAGAACTACAATAACCTTTAATAAATGATATTAAATGTCAATTGTTATTTACCTAATGTGACCTGATATCTAGTTTCAAGCCAGTCGTTTATGCCTTTTTAAAACCGCTATTCTATTTCTATTTTTTGTAATATTTTTCGTTCTATGTACACAGATATTATATTTTCAAAGTTGTATACTGCAGCAAAATAAGACGAGACTTTTGATACAATAATAAAAAGAAAAAATGATTCTGCCAAAATTAAACTTTTAGCAAAATTTTTAAATTAAAATTTTCTTCCTACTTCAAATAGGTAACTAGTAATATAAATATTTTTGGAATCATGCCTAAATGCTACACAATAATTCTAATCCGAACTAAATTTAAAAAAAAGAAGCAGCCTTTATTTTAAAAAATAACGAACAAAAAATGGCCGAATAAAAAATGCTATTCCATGCACTAAGCATAACAGACTTTTTAAAAAAAATTAAAATAGAAAAAAATCTGTTCCTTTTAAAATACGAATTGTTCTTGAACTCACCTGTTAATTGGATAGCTTCTTCTATATCTACATTTTCTCTATCACATACAGTTTCTGTTGTCACACCATTTTTTGGCACACGGTTTACGACGAACGTTCTTCTCACCATTATTGACCACGACCTCTCACTACAATGATCTTCATCCAAACCCTGTTTAACTAGTACGACACGCCGCCATGCTTAGCTACAGCATGTTCTGTTTCACATTTCGCACATACCAATATCGGCTATATTATTTTTATCGTTTTTTACTTGAAACAAGTTTTCGTACAAGCTTCTCCTTGAAATATTTACGGCAAGGTCAAACTGTTTTGTTGCTTAGATTACACATAAGGGTTCGAAGTTTTTTGTAACGGTACTTTTAGGTTTACGCATTTAAAGGTTGTATCAGTTAAATTCGGATCAGAAGATGCCATAATTTGATTTGTAAGATTTCCATTCGGTGCTGATGGCGCTAGCATCGATTAAGGCGTTAGTTTGATCGTAGCAACATTGAGTTATTTTTTTATTTTTTTAAAAGAAGTTTTAATTATTTATATGCATTTCGAATTACACTTTTTGTTTTTATTTTTAATACAACATTATTCCGAATTGCTTTTGTCATTGGAAAAGAAATGTGTAGTAAGTAGTAAGTATATATAAATTAGATACGTTTATTTAACGGCCACAAATAGAATTTTCACCTTTAAATTCAGTCTAGATAGAGTTAAAATACCTTGGCCTAAATTCATAGGTAATTAAAGGAAAAATAAACAATGTTTATATTTTATTTAGTTTAATGTTTGTGTGACAAAATAAACATCCGTTTTAGGTTATATTGATGGTAAATTTCATTTTTATCTATATTATTTAAAATCTATTATTACATTATAGTTTTCGATACAAAAAAAAATGGCTTCAATCATAAGTTAAAATCGAAAAAAATAACACAACAAAACTAAAAAGAATAATTAAATAACAAATTAAAATCAGGTTTGTGGTCATTTTCAATCACAAATGACGTAATATTAAAAATTTGACGTAAATATAGACTTATTAAAAAAAAAGTGTTTATGAGCAGCATTCCGCGTCGCGTGAGTATGGGCTTATGAATATGGGCCTCTAGCATAGCTTGAAACTAGTCGAGTATCTCGTCAAATTATTACGTGAGTAAGCCGAAAACATAATAATTCATTTAGAATGTCTCACGAAAGTTTGAATAAAAGAATGTGATGATTTTCCCCTAACAAAAAAGATTATTAACTGTTACATGTTTGCACTTGCACCAGCTATCTCGGCTGGACCGCCCTTGTGGACGCCGTATGTGGTGGTCTAATCGTTCTATGAGGAGCACGTGAAACATGATGCGCCGCACGCTTGGCTCTAGTTCTAATCGGGCGACCCTTTGTCCATGACTCAGCATGATTACAAGGACTTGTTTCCTCACATTCATATTAAACGTAAAGTTATATTCGTACAAATTACTTACGATCTGTATTCACATTCTTTTTGTACATCAAATCATATATTATGAACAAATCATCATAAATATCAGGCCGGATTTTCGGTACTGAATGATTTTGTTCATTTAATATTATTTTTTTACTTTTTACAGCAGCAAGCATTCAGCGGCTGATGGTAAGCAATCGGTTGGTGCCGCCCATGAACACCAGCAACGCCAGAGAAGTTGCAATAGACACAGCGGATACAGCGTTGCAATAGGCACATACTAGCAGATGGATTACCTGATGGTAAGCAATCAGTGCCGCCCATGGACACCCGCAATAGAGGAGTAACGAGTGTGTTGCTGACCTTTTGGGCATAAGGGATTTAGAGATTTGGGGATTGTGCGATCCATGCCCCTATGGGGGGCCCCTGTGTGGGCGCCGGACTTGAGGCGGCGGCCAGCTCGTACACTGGTCGCGTCCCAGAGGGTCATAGCTATTCGGATAATCCGCACAAAAAAGGGATTTGGAGATTTAGAAATTGGGGGTGGGTAAGGAATGAGCCTCCGACTACCTCACTTACACCTTCAAACCCAACGCTGGAGGTTATGTCACGCCGGTTTTCTGTGAGGGCGTAGTATCACTTCGGTCGAGCTGGCCGAATTGTATGGAAGCATAGCTCTCTCCCACACTTAAATCATTTCTATTTCATTTCATTTTGATTGATATCTGCTTAAATTTTATGACGAGGTTACGAAAATAGGTAGGTAATGGTTAATGGTCCTATAATTGTATTGTTTGTTGTTTATCAACCCAATTAGAGGTGGTCTCCCGTCGGGTGGGAATTGTCTTTCAGTAATTTTATTGGCTAATCGAGTGTTTTATCTTTTGTTCATTCCCGGATTTGGCATGGTCCATTCTTTTTGGTGGTGTACGCTATTAATTATTATACTACTTGATTATACAGATAATAAGCCATAAACTATAAAATAAAGTCGCTTTCTCTGTCCCTAAGATCTCCGCAACAGTTTTTGATGCAGTTTGTTATTAGAAAGAGTAATAGAAGAAAGAATGTCATAATATTTATAAGTGCATGTTGCATTAAATGTAGATTTCCAAATATTTATTAGATGTAGTTTATTCAATGTGTAGTAATTATTATTTTGATAGAGTTAAGAGGAAACAAAGTACGAATAATTAACTTCACTTTAAAGTGTGGAAGTGCCATGCTTCGGCACGAATGGGTCAACTTGACCGGAGTGACACCACACCTGATGTATTTAGCCGTGTAAGTAAAGTAACCGGAAACCTAATCCCTCCCCCTCAACCCATCCCATACCAATCCTTAAATATTAGAAACCCTTATCCCCAAAAGAGCGCAATGCACTCGTAACTCCTTTGGTGTTGCGGGTGTCCATGGCTGGCGCCAATTGCTTACCATCAGGTAATCTGACTGCTGGTTTGCCGAACTTTCCCACAAAAAAAACTTATTATATAAAATATACCGTGTTCAAGAGTGGGAGAGCCAAGTTTCGGCACGAATGGGTCGGCGCAACCGGAGTGATACCACGGCCTCACAGAAAATCGGCGTGAAACAACCACAGCGTTGTGTTTCGCCGTGTGAGTGAGGTTACCGGAGGCCCAATCCTTCCCCTCCCCCAATTCCTCCTCAAACCAATCCCTAATGCCTAAAAGGTCGGCAACGCACTCGTAACTCATTTGGTGTTGCGGGTGTCCATGGGCGCCGCCAATTGCTAACCATCAGGTAATCTGTCTGCTCGTTTGCTTGATCTATTACATAGAAAAAAAATACTATGTAGAAACAAATACACGATGTTTATGTCAAGCAGGAAAACTGAAAATAGATTTGATATTATTGTCTCAAATATACTTCCATAATATAATATTACCTACCTTTATTCTTTTAGAAGATAACTACCTTGTCCTTAGCAAATGTACTACTATAGATAATTCTATTTTAAGTTAGAACCTTTTTGTGTAACAATTGTACACAGTTTTGTCTTTTGTTAAGTAATTTGTCTCGTTATAAAAACAAAAGACTACCTACGCATGAATAATTCGGTAGTAGCCTAGGTCAACAATAAATATGTTAAAATTTCGTCATTTCAATACAATACAATAAAATATTGAAGAAAAAAAAAACTATAGGTACTTAAGTACTTTTATTCATCAATCTGTCGATATTCCAAATGTTCGATATTTATTAGCTAATTTCTAAGAAAGAAGTAAGCTATTTGACGCACAAATGCTATGATTGATTGAAAAAAATTCATTTGGATAAAACTATTGAATTTGACTAGTTGGAAACTATCGTATTACCTTACGTAGTTATCCCTTAGTCACTTTGTTTTAGAAAGCAATTATGTAACTGAATTCTTAAACATTTTTTTTACTTGATAGGTTGGCAAACGAGCACTCGGATTACCCGATGGTAAGCAATCAGCGCCGCCCATGGATACCCGCAACGACGGAGAAGTTACGAGCGCGTTGCTGACCATTTTTGGGGATTAAGGACTTGGAGTTTTGGGAATGAGGAGGGATTGGAGGAGGGGAAGGATTGAGCCTCCAGTGGTCTGTACTACTTATGTTTATTGAAGACTACCGACCCGCCTCGTCTTCTGACGGTCTCAACGGTAATACTTAATGTGGTGAAGTGAAGGTTCAAAACCTGACAAATACTAATGTGACTATTTTTCCAGGTATGTATTCCTACCTTCTTTTTTTAAGAGTAATTTCATCTAATAACTGCTTCCACCGTGTGGAGAGAGAGTGTCAGACTCTTACTGAACTAAAAACTTTGACTTCACGGTGGCTGGCTACCGTGGAACGTGTTGCCGGTTCGATTCCCGAACGGAACAACTCTTTGTTTGATTCACAAATTGTTGTTCCGGGTCTGGGTGTCATGTGTATGTGAAATTGTATGTTTGTAACTGCACCCACGATACAGGAGAAAATCTTAGTGTGGGCCAACGTATTCCTTCATTCCTTCACCTGTTCCGAGCCAGGCCGCAGTACCCTATTGCACTTGATCAGCTGGAGATTGGCCCTAATGGGCCCAATCTGTATTGCTTTCAGCACGCCGGACCTTCAGGGTATGTACTTGCCAAACTATTAGCATTTCAATTATTTAAACACCAATGAGATGTCATAGGGAAACCTTGAGCAGGTATGGTGATTAATTTACTCCTTCCTTCTTTGTGTAAGAAGAAGATTTTATGGAATATCAACCTTGTATCAATGCAATAGGAGCTAAGTTAAAAAAACTTTACGTGTTATTGACGTAACTATGAGATAAATAATATTGACCGAAGGTATGGTATTTTGCATAATAATGAATTTTAGGAAAAGTTTGAACTACGAGTAGGATTTGAATACCATAGCGGATCATTATTTAGTTTTGGAGGTTGTTCGGTATAAACAAAACTAAATTGTTGTGTATGTTATTCAAAAACCCATAGAAACTGGGCTCAGTATGAATAAATTATTAATATATGCTAATGTTTCCCTGACTAAATTATAAAGTTTTGCTTCATATGGGTCGAGGATTCTTTAATTGCGCTATAAATCTAACAATTACATGATACTTTTATTTTTTTTGAAAGGGTAATAATATTTTCATTATGACTTTCTCAAACTGGGTGAGTCGGGGATGTCAGACTCTTACTGACTAAAAGCTACCCCGTTCTTTCTCCTGATCCAGTCCGGGACCGCGACCAATCTCCGGCTTGTACCTGAATATACCTA